GGGGGGTCCCTGGGGGTGTTGGGGGGTATTTGTGAATTTCCTGCAGTGTGCAGGGGGTTGGACTAGATGACCCTGCAGGTCCCTTCCAACTCTCGGATTCTATGATTCTATTCCTCCAGGTCTACTTGCTGCTCTTTTTGTCCCACAGCAGAAGCGTATCCTCTTGCCGCCACCACCTGGTTTGTCACTGTGGAAAAGCAGGATGATTGGCTGAAAGGCACAATTCTTTGTTCCTGCCTTCCTCCATGCACCTCAAGGCAACCTGGGGAGGGGCTGTGGCTCAGTGGCAGAGCCTCTGCTTGGCATGCAGAAGGTCCCAGGTTCAATCCCTGGCATCTCCAGTTAAAAAGGACCAGGCAGGAGGGGATGGGAAAGACCTCCGCCTGAGACCCTGGAGAGCTGTAAAGAGGGGCCGTGGCTCAGTGGAAGAGCCTCTGCTTGGCATGCAGGAGATACCAGGTTCAATCCCCAGCATCTCCAGTTAAAAAGGACCAGGCCATAGGTGATGGGAAAGATCTCAGCCTGAGACCCTGGAGAGCTGTAAAGAGGGGCTGTGGCTCAGGAGTAGAGCCTCTGCTTGGCATGCAGAAGGTCCCAGGTTCAATCCCTGGCATCTCCAGCTAAAAAGGACCAGGCCATAGGTGATGGGAAAGACCTCCTCCCCTGAGACCCTAGAGAGCTGTAAAGAGGCGCTGTGGCTCAGTGGCAGAGCCTCTGCTTGGGAGGCAGAAGGTCCCAGGTTCAATCCCTGGCATCTCCAGCTAAAAAGGACCAGGCAGGAGGTGATGGGAAAGACCTCCGCCTGAGACCCTGGAGAGCTGTAAAGAGGGGCCGTGGCTCAGTGGAAGAGCCTCTGCTTGGCATGCAGGAGATACCAGGTTCAATCCCCAGCATCTCCAGTTAAAAAGGACCAGGCCATAGGTGATGGGAAAGATCTCAGCCTGAGACCCTGGAGAGCTGTAAAGAGGGGCCGTGGCTCAGGAGTAGAGCCTCTGCTTGGCATGCAGAAGGTCCCAGGTTCAATCCCCGGCATCTCCAGCTAAAAAGGACCAGGCCATAGGTGATGGGAAAGACCTCTTTGCCTGAGACCCTGGAGAGCTGTAAAGAGGGGCTGTGGCTCAGTGGCAGAGCCTCTGCTTGGGAGGCAGAAGGTCCCAGGTTCAATCCCTGGCATCTCCACCTAAAAAGGACCAGGCAGGAGGTGATGGGAAAGACCTCCGCCTGAGACCCTGGAGAGCTGCAAAGAGGGACTGTGGCTCAGCGGCAGAGCCTCTGCTTGGCATGCAGAAGGTCCCAGGTTCAATCCCTGGCAGCATCTCCAGTTAGAAAGGACCAGGCAGGAGGTGATGGGAAAGACCTCCGCCTGAGAACCTGGAGAGCTGTAAAGGGAGGCTATGGCTCAGTGGCAGAGCCTCAGCTTGGCATGCAGAAGGTCCCAGGTTCAATCCCTGGCACCTCCACTTAAAAGGACCAGGCAGGAGGTGATGGGAGACACTGCCAGTCTGAATAGACAAGACTGACTTTGGATGGGGGGTCTGATTCAGTAGAAGGCAGTTTTATGTGTGTTCTGGGGGGGGGGCGGCTGTGGCGTAACTCGCTGCTCAGGTTCTTTGTGAAGAGCAGTGTGTCTATTTCTCTGTCTCACCCAGCATCACAGCTTAATCCACTGTGACCTTTGGGGGCCAGACAGTGAGACCAGGGGTAAGTGGGAGGGTTGACACCAATGCTCCCTCTAAGCTGTGCAGTCGTGTGAGCAAGAATTCCACTTTGTGAACTCCTGGCTTTAAAGCTGTGAGCGAGCGATTTGGCTGCTGCATAAATTAGTTTGCTCTGGGGCCATCCTTCCTGAGCCAAGAAGAAAATGTGTGAGCCGGAGGCTAAAAAAATGTGAGCTAGCTTAGAGGGAACACTTAGAGGGACTCAGCTTAGAGGGATCACTGGTAGACACATTGCCTGGAGCCGTGTGCATATCCGTCTGAACTGTGCCGGCTCTTCCACTTTGCAGACTACGCCGTGGGCTTTGGAGGGAAGTTTGGCGTGCAGAAGGACCGTCAGGACAAATCTGCCCTGAGCTGGGCGCACAAGGAGGAGGTGGCGCCCCATGAGTCCCAGACAGGTGGGTGGGTGACCCCTGTCCTCACGGTTGGGGAAGGATATGGTGCATGTGGGGAATGGGGGGACACCTGGAAAAAGAGATCAAGGGCTGTATGGACGTTACTACTCAATTCCTGTCAATCTAGGCCCATGACTCAGTGGTAGAGAGCACCCGCTTTGGGTTCTAAAGGTCCCAAATTCCAGTGTCCAGACTAGGAAGATCAGTTCTCTTGGAGGAAACGGCTGGCTTGTAGGGTGGACTCTACTGAATTGAGAGCCAGTTTGGCGCAGTGGTTAAGTGTGCGGACTCTAATCTGGGAGAACCGGTTTTGGTTCCCCACTCGTCCACTTGCAGCTGCTGGATGACCTCGGGCAAGCCGTAGTTCTGTCAGAGCCGTTCTTGAAAGAGCAGTTCTCAAAAGAGCTCTCTCAGCAGCCCCGCCCACCTCGCAGGGTGCCTGTTGTGGGGAGGGGAAGGGAATGGAGTTTCTGAGCCGCTCTGAGACTCCTCTGGGTAGTGAAGGGTGGGGTATAAATCCAAGCTCTTCTTCTCCTCTTCTTCCCTGTGAGGTCCTTCCCCAGGGTCTACCCACACATCTCCAGGAATCGCCCAGCCCATAGCTGACAACTGTAATCTTAGGCAGAGCCTGTATGCATGTATGTGGGGTCATTTTTTGCGAAGCTTTTGGTCAGTCCGCAATGAAGACCCCTCTGCTTTGGCTATGTGAGCAGTGGCCCAGTGCTCGCCTCCTCTGAAGTGGCAACGATCCCGACAAGGGAGACAGTCTTCAATGCCATACATAGCTCCATCCCCTGCACATCCCCCCCCCCCCAAGTGCTTCACTAAGAAATCAGGGAGGATTCACATTCCACAACAGGGGATTATCTATCTGTCTGTCTATCATCTATCTATCTATCTATCCTAACCTGCCTCACAGAGATAGCAAAATAGAATCTTAGAGCTGGAAGGGACCTCCAGGGTCATCTAGTCCAACCTCCCGCGGAATGCAGGAAATTCACAAATACCTCCCCCCAAACACACACCCAGTGACCTTTGCTCCATGCCCAGAAGATTTAAACAGGCTCTGGGCGGCTTACAAAAGACGGCAAAATATGCCGATTTCACATACAACATTAAAATAGCATAAAACATACTTAATATCAACAATAAACATTAACATGCTAGCAGTATTAAATGATATTAAAGTGGATGGTGTGCGTTTTCATTCTGATCATCTTCTGCTCTTCAGGCCAATCCTATGGGCCAGATGTTGAATGGCGCCGTCGGTAGTGGGCCAGTCCAATATTCCCAATGTACACATGGGATCGTTGATGGTAACAGTGGTGGCGGCTCCTATTTGAAAGCCTGGCGGAAGAGCTCCATTTTGCAGGCCCTGCGGAACTGTGCAAGGTCCCTGCCCACCTGCCGCAAAGGAAGCACCAACCTTCCAGTGAAAAAGTGGTGCATCTCCCCAAAAAGCAACACCTTTCAATGTGGAAAACGAGCCCTATAAAAAACTTGATGGTTCCTATTCAACCCCAGTGTCAAATACTGGGCTCTGGACGCATTTTCGTGAAACAGTTCTGCTTTATTGAGTGATTTCAGGAACACTACAAGAACAAACTCCAAGGCAGCAGCCCTGTTTTAAAGCATGCAAACACCACACCCCAAACACACCCCACTCCCAACGATAGGCTATTTACACATTACTATTACCCTAATGGTCAACTCCAGGATCCTAGCCAGCTATTGTTTGGGGGAAACAAGCTCAACTAGCTCCAGGCACTAGTTCGGGGGAGACTCATACTCAGTACACAACACCCAATAAAACTATAAGCAAGGTTGTTGTCCCTCAAGATCATGCCGATGGTGGGTCCGGGGAAGGTGTTGACAGCGACAAGGAAATGGGGGTTCCCAGGATTACCAGAGCATCTGTGTACCTGCGGTGTGCATGGTGGGATGGTTAGCACATTGTCTGGAGCCCTGTGCGCGCATCCATCTGAACTATGCCGGCTCTTCCACTTTGCAGATTATGCGGTGGGCTTTGGAGGGAAGTTTGGCGTGCAGAAGGACCGTCAGGACAAATCTGCCCTGAGCTGGGCGCACAAGGAGGAGGTGGCGCCCCACGAGTCCCAGACAGGTGGGTGGGTGACCCCGGTCCTCACGGCTGGGGAAGGATACTGTGTGGTGTGTGCGTGTGGGGGGGGAACGCCTGGAAGAAGAGAGTCAGAGCTGTGTGAATATCGCATCTCTGCACCCTGCACTTTACACCCATGGCTCACTGGTAGAGTATCTGCTTTGGATTCCGAAGGTCCCCAGTGCAGTCTTGCGTAGGGTTGCCAACCTCCAGTTGGGGCCTGGAGATCTCCCGCTATTACCATGGGTCTCTAGATGGGTTCCCCTGAAGAAAATGGCTGCATATTGTCCAGAGCTGTGTGTGTCCGTCTGAAATTATGCCGGCTCTTCCACCTTGCAGACTATGCGGTGGGCTTTGGAGGGAAGTTTGGCGTGCAGAAGGACCGTCAAGACAAATCTGCCCTGAGCTGGGCACACAAAGAGGAGGTGGCGCCCCACGAGTCCCAGACAGGTAGGTGGGTGACCCCGGTCCTCACGGCTGGGGAAGGATACGGTGTGTCGTGTGTGGGGAGGGACACCTGGAAAAAGAAGGTCAGAGCTGTGTGACTATCACATCTCTGCACCCTGCACTTTACACACATGACTCACTGGTACATAAGAGCATAAGAATATAATGTTGGATCAGTCCAATGGCCCATCCAGGCCAACACTCTGTGTCACACAGTGGCCAAAAACACCAGGTGTCCTCAGGAGGTCCAGCACTGGGGCCAGAGGACACTAGAAGCCCCTTCCACTGTTGCCCCCCCCAAGCACCAAGAATACAGAGCATCACCTGCCCCAGACATAAGAACATAAGAGAAGCCAATCTTGGATCAGGCCAAAGGCCCATCCAGTCCAACACTCCTGTGTCACACAGTGGCCAAAAATACCAGGTGCCCTCAGGAGGTCTAGCAGTGGGACCAGGACACTAGGAGCCCTCCCACTGTCGCCCCCCCCCCAAGCACCAAGAATACAGAGCATCCCTTGCCCCAGACCGAGAGTTCCTATCTATACCTTGTGGCTAATAGCCTGTGACGGACCTCTGCTCCATATGCTTATCCAGTTCCCTCTTGAAGCCGTCCATGCTTGTAGCTGCTACAACCTTTTGTGGCAGTGAATTCCATGTGTTAATATCTCTTTGGTATCTGGTAGAGTATCTGCTTTGGATTCCGAAGGTCCCCAGTGCAGTCTTGCGTAGGGTTGCCAACCACCAGTTGGGGCCTGGAGATCTCCCGCTATTACAATGGGTCTCTAAATGGCCAAGATCAGTTCCCCTGGAGAAAATGGCTGCATGTTGTCCGGAGCTGTGTGTGTCCGTCTGAACTATGCTGGCTCTTCTACTTTGCAGACTACGCGGTGGGCTTTGGAGGGAAGTTTGGCGTGCAGAAGGACCGTCAAGACAAATCTGCCCTGAGCTGGGCGCACAAGGAGGAGGTGGCGCCCCACGAGTCCCAGACAGGTGGGTGGGTGACCCCTGTCCTGGTTGGAGAAAGATAATGTGTATGTGTGTAAAACAACTCGAAAAAGAGAATGAGAGCAGTGTGAATATCACATCTCCCCACTGCCAAATCCACTTTTAGTTGCCAAATTTGGGATAAAATGTGAGCATATCTGTCTGCCATATCATGCAACCGGCAACGACCTGTAACCTCTCTGCCAGTGCGCCACTGAGGTCATGTGAACTGGTTCTCTCGGATCCTGCCTTGCATAGCAAAATGTAGTCCATCCACGTTTTAGCTCCTCGTCCAGTTAATCTTCAGTATGCCGTACTTGTGCAGCACATCTAATTGCGCACTGAATGCCATTCGGCAAAGGGCATCTTCTTCATGCACTGAGGGTTGACTCTATGTACAACAATGGTCCGTCCTTGAAGCCCCTGGCTAGATATTGACCCAGAGGGGCTTGCTGCTATTGCCGGGGGGGGGGTGTTGTCTGGAAGGATCCTGCTGTCGGGTAGCCCTGTCATCGGTCTGGAATGTGGAGGGGTGGCCCTCCCGTTTTCCGTCTCAGCTCTCCCTGGCTCACCAACTGTTTGCTATCTTATGCTTGACCTTGTAGAGGCTCCAGCTGCAGTTTTACTTGGCTGGGAAAGTTAATGGCTTTTGCTTGGCCTGCTTGCTTTTGCCCCCGCACGCAAGATGTATCTATTGGATCATGCTTACCAGGGGGGATGTTTGATTCTAGTATAAGTCAGAGGCCCTCGTATTGGCGGCCATTCCTGACACAAGTTGTACACGTGTCTCTAGTTCTGGATTCACCAATAAACAGTTATCTTCTCATGAAGCCCTGTGTTGCGTAGCCTGACTAAGGACCCTGACTCCTGCAAGGGGAGCCAGTTGCCTGCAATCTGTTGCTCGTGCATCCTTTAACTGAAGTCCTGATTTGCCTCTCAGATCACGCCAAGGGCTTTGGGGGCCGTTACGGGGTGCAGAAGGACCGAGTGGACAAGGTAGGCAAGGCACTGACGTGGGGGGTGGGGAAGGCATGTCTAAGAGCAGCCCTGCTTTTCATCTGGCACCTCGTTCCCATATCTGTTCCAAAACTTTCGAAGTTCCATCGTTTCCCTCCTCTGCAAGAGAAAATAGAAAATGAATGTCTGATAAATTCTCAGCAGGCAGGGAGTCTCAGGATCTCTGTTGCTTCATGCTGCCTGCTTGTCACTTCCATTACTTACAGCTGAGCAAAATCCCCGTAGGCTGCAAAAGTGTGCGATTTAAAGAATT